GATGCACGGGCGTGATGCTCGGCCGTGAACGATCCACGGGCACGATGGGCACGATGCACGGGCACGGTGCACGGCCATGAACCATGCACGGCACGACGCACGGGCACGATGCACGGCCGTGAACGATCCACGGGCACGATGGGCACGATGCACGGGCGCGATGCACGGGCACGGTGCACGGCCATGAACCATGCACGGCACGACGCACGGGGCACGATGCACGGCCGTGAACGATCCACGGGCACGATGCACGGGCGCGACCCTCGGCCATGAACGAACGATGCACGGGCGTGATGCTCGGCCGTGAACGATCCACGGGCACGATGCACGGGCGCGATGCACGGGCACGGTGCACGGCCATGAACCATGCACGGACGACGCACGGGCACGATGCACGGGCACGACGCACGGCCACGACGCTCGGCCATGAACGATACAAGGCTGGATGCACGGGCACGACGCACGGCCGTGAACGACGCACGGGCACGACGCACGGGCACGACGCTCGGCCATGAACGATGCACGGGCACGACGCACGGCCGTGAACGATGCACGGGCACGACGCACGGGCACGACGCTCGGCCATGAACGATACACGGCACGATGCACGGGCACGATGCATGGCCTTGAACGATGCACGGGCACGACGCACGGGCACGACGCTCGGCCATGAACGATACACGGCACGATGCACGGGCACGATGCATGGCCTTGAACGATGCACGGGCACGCGCTCGGCCACGAACGATGCACGGCACGACGCGCGGGCACGGCGCTCGGCCATGAACGATGCACGGCACGACGCACGGGCACGACGCTCGGCCATGAACGATGCACGGCACGACACACGGGCACGATGCACGACCATGAACCATGCACGGGCACGACGCGCGGGCACGACGCTCGGCCATGAACGATGCACGGCACGACACACGGGCACGATGCACGACCATGAACCATGCACGGGCACGACGCTCGGCCATGAACGATGCACGGCACGACACACGGGCACGATGCACGACCATGAACCATGCACGGGCACGACGCTCGGCCATGAACGATGCACGGGCACGACGCGCGGGCACGACGCACGGCCATGAACGATGCACGGCACGACACACGGGCACGATGCACGACCATGAACCATGCACGGGCACGACGCGCGGGCACGACGCTCGGCCATGAACGATGCACGGCACGACACACGGGCACGATGCACGACCATGAACCATGCACGGGCACGACGCTCGGCCATGAACGATGCACGGGCACGACGCGCGGGCACGACGCACGCCCATGAACCATGCACGGGCACGACGCTCGGCCATGAACGATGCACGGGCACGACGCGCGGGCACGACGCACGGCCATGAACCATGCACGGCCACGATGCACGGCCACGACGCTCGGGCATGAACGATGCACGGGCACGACGCACGGTCACGAACGAAGCACGGGCACGATGCACGGGCACGACGCACGGCCACGAACGATGCCAGGGCCCACGGCCACGAACCATGCACACGGGCACGACATAGGCCACGAACGATGCAAACGGGCACGACGCACGGCCACGAACCATGCACACGGGCACGACGTAGGCCACGAACGATGCAAACGGGCACGACGCACGGCCACGAACCATGCACACGGGCACGACGCACGGCCACGAACCATGCACACGGGCACGACGCACGGCCACGAACCATGCACACGGGCACGACGTAGGCCACGAACGATGCAAACGGGCACGACGCACGGCCACGAACGATGCACACGAGCACGACGCACGGCCACGAATGATGCACACGGGCACGACGCACGGCCACGAATGATGCACACGGGCAAGACTTGGGACTTGTTTGTCGTACACGACTTCTTCTTGTGCACACAGGTCATGGCATACGGTCGGAACATATAACTTAGCATATCATGAGCTACCACACCACCATCATTAGTTGAAGGAATGCGAAAATTTCCATTTACAACGGACACGGGGTCGCCTGTGAAAACGCGACTTTTTCGTTTGCACTCGAGTCATGTCAAGAGTTGGCATGTTGGTCGAACCAAGTGCCAAGGCGCATGATCCACATCCACTCGGGACACTACCAAGCGCACCATTCACATTCCATAAGCACATTGCCGGCCGAACCAACCAAGTTCCTCGGAGCATTTTCCTCGTGTCTTATGATACATCGTCTCGAGTCACTTTTTGTCTGTGCGACCAAGGCACGCGATCCACATCCACTAAGCACGTTGACTACTTAATTAGGCACAATGTCCACACGGACCAAGGCACACGATCCACATCCACTAGGCACGCTGACTACTTAATTAGGCACAAGATCCACACGGACCAAGGCACACGATCCACATCCACTCGGGACACTATCAAGCGCACCATTCACATTTCAAAGGCACGTTGCCGTCCGAACCATCCAAGTTGCTCGAAGCATTTCCCTCATGTGCCTTGGTACAACATGACTGACGTCACACTAGG